GCAAGAGCTTTGGAAGATGGTTGTATTTGATCATTTCAAATGTCTTGATACGTGCACCAAAACAAATTCAAAATAGCTGCTTTTTAAAAGCAGCTGAGTTGCACTGAAGAATACTTTAACATCAAGTAAACCAGGGGAGATACTGGCCAGCAGCTTTCATTCTGCATAATTAATGAGTCTGTTTAAACTGCCACGACTGAACATTTTCAAACATTTAATTACTTATATATCTAGTGTGGGGTTTGTGTGAAAGCTTTGTGTAGTTTTGTGGTCAATTGTAAAACAAGAAATGCCATTTCTGTAAAAATGTTCCACGTCTCTTTTTTCTTAAGATTAAAGGCCAAGCTCTCACTTCTATTAGAGAGATGTTCTTATAACAGGTTATATCACTAGGCTATAAACCAGAAGGACACCTGAGCTACAGTACTGAGATCAGGTATCGGTCCAAGTGTGGAGCCCTGGGCTCTGCAGCACCGGCGATCAGCACGAAAGTACCTTTTCACACTCATTTAAGCAGCCAGAGTGACCTTGTTCATTAAAATTAGTTTGTCAAAGTCGAGCAGCACACCGGAAGTATTAGGAAAAGCACATCTCAATCCACTGGGGAAAGCTGTCCAATTATTTAGGAAGGGACAGTTTGGCGAGAAGCACTTGTCCCTCCTTGTAGACAATTAGAAAGGCAAATGATCAATTAAAAGAATCTGTTGCCATGGAGTTTGTTCAGCTTACGCTGGCCCCGTGACATCCTCTCTCAGAAGCAGTTTGCAGTGTCTGCTGTGGAGATTCAACTTTACTCTATTAAGTCCAGATTTTCATCTGATGTTTTTTTTATTTTTTGTCTGCCAGCAGAAAGAGGTCAGACACAAAGGTCATAATAAGTGGCAACATCCCAGTTTCCCCGGAGGAATCATTAAAATTTTATCTAATCTAATCTAATCGTCTGAGAGACTTGCTCTAATTGAGGAAACAAAGGGATAATGTTTTAAGCCTGAGTCTTTTCCGGTGTGGCGTCAGAGAAGAGGATTTCTCTCCCAGTGATCTGTTCAGGGACAGTGATTTGAAAATGAGGTGACATGAGTTGACCACGAGCAGTCACTCTCTCATCTGGCGGTGTTTTCTATTTGTGTCAGCCAACATGTGTTTCTCATGATGGGACCTGACACCTCCCCTGGAGCAGCGCGGAGCATGAAGAGCAACAAAGTGGAGATGCTCGGAGAAACACACCGACTGCAAATTACACTCTGATGCCTGCTCACTAAAATGTCTACAGATAATGTGCATTGTGGAAGAGATGGGGAATTTTCATCATGAAAAATCCGCCTTGTACTCCATGAGTACATTTACAAAATCAAATGTTCGCCTCTCCTCCCTCCTAAATTGGCTGTTTTTTTTTTACTTGAGTGCACAGTATGTGCTAAGTCACTTTGACCTCTGCATATAATGTCTGGAACTTAGTTTTTCCCCGGGCTGAATGTCTGGGTGAAATGGATTTATTGTTAAGGATTAATGGGGAGGGTTTTACCACATTGCAAAAGATGACTTAACAAATATGTGGAGTTTATACTTAAGTGGAAAAGTGCCAACTTTTACTCATCATTCATTTTGAAGACAATACTATTAATAATTCGTTATTTCATTGTATTGCACTGAAGCTGAAGTAAGTGTGAAACGGAGAAACAGACAAGTGAAAGTTCCACTTTTTATCATCCAACTGTTTAAGATTCTAATGGCTTGTCTGATATTGGATTACGCCTTTCCAACTTGAAAGCGTGGCTTATTGGCGGTGGGCCCCTCTGGAGCAAGGTGGCCGAGGCACCCAGTGGCATAGATAGTGACGTACGTATGTGCAGCAGCAATGAATCACTGGGAGACAATGCCCCTCTCTCAGCCTGAGCTGTTTGCAAATGCACATTCACTGAATACAACACAGGTCAACTGGGAAACAGCTGTGGAATCATTAGTGTGGTGAAATATGCAGAAAGAAAAGAAGGTCCTGCAGACTGCACCACAATATATACCTGTGGTACCAACCAGGTATTTAATTCACTGCCAATATGTTTAGTTTCTTTAATTATTCATCATTATTGCATCATGGCTCTATAACTATTGCCAAGTCCATCAATAAGAACAGTCACTGTTTGTTATGTAATAAGGAATAGTTTTGTACATAGTAAATCTGATTCTGAACATGAGCTGTGACTGAGAAACACAATTTCAAACTTATCTTTTTCAAACTTATTTTCCTCTTCCAATCCAAGAATTATTTATTATAGAATTATTATTAACTAACTAATTCAAGTAAAAATGCCAGCAGGTGTGGCACCTATAGGGCTATTCTGAAAGAGCAGAGGTAGACGCTCGTGCACGCGCGCGCACACTCACATATGACTCATCTCATCTAAACTAAAGCACTTTGTCAGAGGCGTCCATTCACGTTACACCCATGCAAGAACGCGCAGACTCAATCTCAGCTCGGTGCGCGACACTTATAGTGAGGCTGGCTATATAAGTCCATTCAGCATCTACTCTTTAAGTAACTATATACTTGTTTCTTCTAAGAAGTGAAGGAGGGCGGCATCTCGCCAACTACCTGGCAACCTACACGGCTGTACTGGACCTCCTCTAAAGATTGAAGGTATGAAAAGCTTCATTTATTTAATACATATTGTGAGTTTGTCTGCATGCCTTCTTTGGCATGTTACATTTTCTCGTTTTCTCGGCGCAACTTAACTCACAAATGAATCAGATGAAACAGATCTTTGGTTTCACAAACGTTTTAACAATATTTTTGTCCTTAGTAATTGCTTGGATTTTCAAACTTGATTTTGTTTTATAGACCTGGAAACAAGTATAGATTGCAAGCAATAATAGTTAAACTTCCAGTTTATCCATTTATGTGCCAGAAATCCAGTCTCTAGTCTTTACGCACGAAATATTCCACATTGAATTAATGCGATGACTGTTTTACGTGCGTAAATCCCTCATTACGCAGCACATTTCACACCAGAACTGGGATAAAAAAAAGAAACATGACATGAAAATAATCCAGGAATTTGTTTTTCTCCTCAGATTCCTGCTGATATCCTGACATGAAGCTCAATTTACTTGGTACCACCGTGATTCTGCTAGTTGCCTTCTTACCCCGCTACGAATGTCGGGCTATTGAGAGCCCTGGCGGTGCCCTGCGCGTCCCAGCTCCCCAAACCCAAAACTCCCAGCAGCAGCAGCAGTCTGGTCCCATCCTGGAGCGGCTTGGAGAGGAGTATTTCATCCGACTGGGCAACGGGGACTCTAACTCTTTCCCATCATCGTCCATGTATCCCGGCGGATCACCTGCCATCTACAACAGAGCTTTGCAACTCCAGCTGACGCGGCGTCTTTTACAAGGGAAAGTTGGGAACATCAGGGCGCTCATAAGCGGCTTCGGAGACCGCGGGGACGAGTCGATGGAGAGGGGAAGGAGGTCCGAGGATCCGCCGATATCCCTGGACCTGACCTTCCACCTGCTCCGGGAGATGATGGAGATGTCCAGGGCGGAACAGCTGGCCCAGCAAGCGCAAAACAACAGAAGAATGATGGAGCTCTTCGGGAAATGAAGACCTCTTTCCAGTCCGCCAAAGATCTCCTTTCCCTATCTTTTCTTTTCTTTTTTGCATTTTTACCATCAGCACAAAACGTGCTCTGTACAATATAGTGCTGCTTTATCACTCTATTATTTATAGCTTTAACCTCAAACTATGGAGCTTAAACGGGCTTGACTTATGATCCGATTGTACCTTGCCATTTTAATGTTGGTGTCAAATCTGTAGAATTACACCGTTCTTCATATTTGAGATGAAATACTTTCGGTTAAGACATGAAATACTGCATTGACAAAATTGGCATTTTGTTTTAGATTATGAATCACTGTATTTATGATATTTATGTTTGTTAATAAACTTATGTGCAACCAGTCATTTTCTGTTGTGCAAGAGAACGTCTTATATCTATATTTTTTAATAAAAAATTAAAAGCAATGCTTACATTTCTCTGTGGATATCCTTACATGAGTTAATAATAACTCCCATGGAAACGAATTATTCCCAGTTACTTTAATTATTAATTTTTATTAACATACACTTTCCTAATGTTTGACATACAGATTTGTAATCTTACATTGAAGAAATATACATTAATATAGGTCTACGGGTTCAAGGTAAAAAAAAACTAAACAGTTGGTTGAGCACACATGGCCACTGCATCTTGAGTCTTGCCTACACAAATATTGACTGATAGAGAAAGGTTTTTCAAACTGAATATAAAAGTATTATATGGTGTAACCATGGCATTGCTTTGGAGCCAAGTCGTGGGTTAACACTGTGCCGCCTCTCTAACACACACACAAAAAGAGCTGTAACAACAAAAAAATTGCCCAAGTGGTTCATAAGGATGCTGTAGGAGCGCCTGCAGTCATGCAGGTGAAGAACATTCATCCAGCATCCTTTCTCCTAAACCCTTAATCCTCAGAAAGCAATTCTCATTATAGCAGTAAGAGGCAAACACAGCAAAAAGATTCACCACTGATAGGTAATGAGTTTGAAAGACACTGTGTGTGCGTATGTATGCATGTGTGTAGGTGCATGCTGTGCTGATCCTTGACCCACAGTGTCAGGGTAAACTACACAAGAGCTGTGGGTGTGAGTCATCCTATTCTGTTTGGCCCACTTAGCAACTTGGGGCTTAGTGCTGCATTGTGCCCATTTGTAAAGGATCCAACTCACTCACACAATAATTAGATGGGACTGCCTCAATAGTGGAGTCACAGCAAGGTGAGACCATTGCAGGCCAGCAAATAGAGCAACTGGCGGCTTGAGGTTCGCTGCATTCTGCTATGTATACAGTAGGTTGTGGGCAGGAATGGTATCACGACAATACAGTAGATCGGTCTGAACAAGCTATAAAGTGACACTGCTGCCTTTTTCAGATGAATATCCTTTGACAGAAATACATGAAAAAGAGTGTAAAGAAAAGAGAAAAAATTGTATTTTTCCTGTACACGTGTACACACAGACACACAAACTGGTAGGGTGTTACACAAAATCTATTTCATTGGTAATTCAGTCCAGGCCAAAAACCGCCACACCAAGTACAGCAACACATGTGGTAGTGCGTTATGTTTTGTTAATCTGGTATCAACCAAGACTTGAGAAATACTATATTTTAGGTGTTTGTACAATTCTGTTTTAATGACACAGAAGATATAATACACCATAATTAGGCAAAATGTGATGTTTTGTCCATAATTAGAAAAAAAAAAAAAACACCTGTGTTACACAACAAAGAACACAACACATAATACAGGCTGTTGCATGTATGAAACACTGAAATGTCACAGCGATAGTTTTATACTCTGCTACCCTACTCATAAAGTTATATCAGCCATAAAAAAGTATACGACAGGGAGGGAAACCTGAGGCCCCCTTGTCATGCTCTCTAATGATGTAGTTTAAGCAGTGACTCGCAAAAGGTCAGCTACATAAAAAATGTATGAGCGCGTCTGAAATCTGGAAACAACCAATAGACACTCATAGCCTGTCTGTCATTCAGCACGTAAAAAAAAATAAAAGAGAAACCAAAATGTGTATTTAATCAGACAAAAAATGTACCAGTCAGTATGCGGTGATGCAAGCTAACACAATCACAATAAAAGAGAGAGAATATAATTTAAACTTCTGTCTCTTCCTTTAGATCTACCTCAGCAACTCAGACTTTCCCTTGGGCGCAGAGCTAAATCTGTCTCGCTGTTCCCCAATCTGGGAGAAAAGGTATCACAACTGACCTGAAATCAACATCTAGGAGCAAAACTTATCCTGCTCCTGGGTTTAGGGTGCTGTCGGGGGCCGGCGGCTGACAGCTAGGTCGAAGCAGCGCTCTTGGCTGCGCTTGTGGAGGAGTTCACCTGCTGCGGGGCAGAAGGTGGGACGGGGGCGGCTGTAACAGCGCTACTTCCTGAAACAGTCTGGGCCCCCTCTCCTTCCTCTGCGCCCGCTTCTCCATCCTCATCCTCTTCGTCCTCATCTTCATCATCTGTAGAAAGAATAGGAAGCGATATGAAAGTCAAGATATATACAATCGTGAGTTTTATGCAGCAAATTGATTGATCACCAACTCTGTCCCTTCACCTTGGCTGAAGTCAATGCTGCGCAGGGCCTTGCCCTCTCTCTTGAACTCGATGTTGAAATGATCCATATTCTCATAGCCACGCTCAACTTTGTCCAAGTGTGCTGTACTGGATGCTTCTGCAATCCTGAGTGCAGAGGGTTCAATTAGCATTTTTATGGGGGGAAAAAATTCACCCCTTAGACAGCCAATGTAACACTTGCTATATATAATCAATCTGTGATGTTTAGCACATTCCACAAGTTATTTCGGGATGCAACGGCTAAAGATAGTTATGCCACATTTAACAGAAGTACTTTCGACAGCTCCCAGAGAGCAGGTGTGATCTTGCTGCATTAGGTTGGTGGTTTTATGTGGAGGTGCAGGTGTAAATTTAGCAAATCATTCACAAGAATATGAACAAAAAACACCCTGCAAACAACAAAAAGACACTAAAACAGACACACACAGCAGTAGTTATTAGTGTGTTACAGTCAGAAAGTATTTTTACCTTAAAATGACAATATGCTCTTTTTTGTACATACATTTCCCCTTACCCACCGTCAGTGTAATTATTGATGCATACAAACGTACTCACTTTTTGAGGAGAGGCTTTGTGTTCTGAAAGAGACAAGAGAAAGAAAGACAAATCATCCATTCTGCTTATACCTAAAATATTAATAATTGTAGCCATTTTATGTTGAGTTTGAACCTAATTTGGTATCTGACCTGTAGAAATAAAGCCATTTCAGGCTCCTCCATTGTTTGGATCCCCTTCTCTACAACCTTACAGCTCTCCTCCAGATGGTCTCCATACTTCCTGGTCAGGTCCCGGATATAGTTCACCTTCTCTTCCTGTTCGACTGTAACCTTCTGACTCATCTCCCTCTTCTTCTCCTCCAGGATGGAGTACAGCTGGTCAAACTTCTCGCACACAAGAGTCTTCTGCCTCCGACCATTCTCCTATGCACATTTATCACAGTCTTGTAGGTGAGAAATTTATGGAAATGCTACATCTAGGGTACAACAGCGTACACAAAACCAAAGAAAATTAGGTAATAGCTTTCTGTGTTTGGCCGTGTAAATACTACAAATGTTCTGGTTATCCTGTCTTCCGCCCATCCGGTTGTGCCATATGTGCAGGGAGGACAGTGAAGCTCATTCTGCGTGTCCGTCCACTGAGGGTGACACATGGGGGACTGGAGTCACTCCAGCTTCCTCCCTACTATGTCCAACTGTGGCACGTGAACCATAGGAAAGCTGTCTGTTCTCCCTCCATCAATTACACTGCTCATTTTTAATGTCAGTGGGCCACAGGCAGAATAAAGTGCCCTGCTAAGTGCATATAGAAGAAAATGTGGAAAAGAGAGTGTGAGACAGACTGAGGCATCAAGACATTAATTTTCATCCCTCCACCTCTCTGTCTAGAGCTCACAGACAGATAAAAGCAGAGAGTGGCGGTGACAAGGACACATTACGCCTGTTTGTATGTCTGTGCAGGTGAGTGCAGGTGCATTAGCGTGTGCACAGAACAAGTGCTTGCTGCGTGAGTGAGCGGCCAGGCGCTGCAGCAGTTGGACACTGACCTCTATGGCACGACAGGCTTCCTCGAGCTGACTAATGATGCCTTGCATCCTGTCGTTGTTACCAACCATCATGGCAATCCCGTCGCTCAGCTCCGTCTGGGGGGCAAGGACACGGCAGAATAAATACGTGAGATCTGACCTGACTTAATGTAGGTAATGGTGAAACATAGTCAGAATGAGATTTTGATGATCTATCTATCTATCTATCTATCTATCTATCTATCTATCTATCTATCTATCTATCTATCTATCATGATTGACAGCGTTCCTCACCTTCTTTGTCTGATAGATGCTGGTGATGGGTTCCACCTCACAGTCTTTGTGGGCTCCAAACACCTTACACATGGAGCATGTGGGCACGCCATGGGTGACGCAGTATATGTTGATCTTTTCTTCTTCGTGAACCTCACACATGGGCATCTCTTGCTTTCTCTCCGGCGCTGGTTTGCTGCTGTTAAGGTTGAAAGAAATAAAAAACGGTGGTAACTTCCGGTTAAGGCCGTTCATTTCTGCGCATACTGATGTGCCGTTTAATGTCAGTTTGATAATGTCACAGGTACACATCTCAGGAGTTTATTGATGATCCATCAGCCTCGCCGTGCCACGCACATTGACCGTCAGTGCTATAATCGATACATCACCATAACGCTGTGCAGTATATACAGGTGTTAAGTGTTATGTTCTATTAATTATTAATTAATTAATTTCTGAACATTGTCAAGTCAATTTATCCCATAAGAATTACTCAAGATATCAGTTAACTGTTGTGGATCTTGTGTCGTACAAGCCTTTTGGCTACACAGTTAACGACTCAGATCAGGGAAATCATCTGTGTAGACATATGACTAAAAACTATAAACTTCCTGTCATCCACACCAGCTCTGGGGTTTCCACTCTTTCTAGGGATCACTTTCCAGGTCCTTTTCAGTGATGATAAAGCTGGTATGACGGAGAGGGATTGCGCCATGCACCAATATGTTACTCACTGTGGAAGTATGATTTAACCTTATCATCATTATCATTGTATTTTATATTGTTTTGTGCTCTATAAGTGCTATTTAAATAACACTTAAATTTAAATAACAACAAGTAACCTTGTCATTATTTTAAGATTATAACCTTGATCCTTATGTTCTTAAAAAGTATATTAACCATTGCTGCCGTAACACAAATAACACAAATAGTAGTTGAGTTTTAAGAATTATTAAGTGCCACTGACTCTTATCGGTTTATCACATCCTACTTTAGCCCCTTTACTAATAATATTAAGTCGAGTCTTAAACAACCACAATGACGCCCACGTTTTGGGGAGCTCTGAAAGATAGTAGCTCATTCTCTGCTAAACGAAAATATGTTAGGGGAATAATGTTCCAGGACATTCAACTTTCATGTGTTTACCATGACTGGAAAACTGTTTTCCAGGTTTTCCAGGATGCGTGGTTGTCTGATTCAGAAGCCACTAAGGCAACACCAGCAAATGCCACACTTCCTGCCATCATGCCACCAGACTATCCTTATTCTCTGTTACTATCTCTATCCACTGAGCCTCAGGGTTAGAAAACATCTGTGTATCTGATATATCTCACCTGCTGGACTCCTGTTTGAACATGTCAATAATATTTTCAACCAGCAGGTTCCTCTGCAGCCCGTAAACACCGTGCCTATCCAGGACCACCTCATGTCTACAGGACGGGCATCGGAAGCGGCCACCAGACGTCAATGAGCCACCTCTTGTTGGAAGGTATGGATTTGAGGCCTGTAAACAGTCACAATACAAAACCCTAAAATTAGTATGACTAACAGGTGTTTTTTAACGCAGGGAATAACACATAACAACTAAATTCAAGATTTATTAATGATTTAACACATTAATAATGTTTGTAAACACAGCTTTAAATGTTAATTTATGATCAGTTGTTTGTCATTTCTGTTATATATGAGAATATACACCGACAACTGATACTAGTTGGGCCTTTAATACAGCACAAATGTAGCTATAGATGTCAATATGTAACAACAGTGTTTCACAGCTGTTAATAAATACTTTTCTCTTAATACTAACAACAAATAAGTGGATTTTTCTTTCTTCTTTCTTTTTTTTTGGTTTCTTACCGTGAAAATATCATTGGCACATTTTCTGCAGAGGTTGTGCTGGCAGGGTAGAATCACCACAGGCTTTGTAAACATCTCCAGGCATATGGGGCAAATCAGCTGTTTCTCCAGGTTGTCCATGTTATTCATTGTTGACAAAAGCTATTAAAAAGACATAAAACACTATTAAAACTCAATTGTTTGAGACCAGTAAAAGCTGGTAAAGTTAGTTAGGAGTCCGTCTCTGAAAGCAAATCTACAGTGGGCCCGAGTCAGGCTGAAGAGTAGGCCTGCTGCTCTCGTCCTAGCGGGTGTGGGCTCCTATCTCTCTGCTGTCAGTTCTGTTTTTAGCAGCTATTGCTGTCACGTCAAAGGTTACCGTGCCCATATTTGAAACTGAGCAGGGCAGTATTGAACAGCTGCCCACTAGCCCCTACATCCTCCTCCTTACTGCTACCAGAGGTGACTGTGCTGTGTATATATATGTGTTTTTAAAAAGGGTGGAGACTTTACATCATAACTATAAATCAGTTAATGCATATCCCCCCCCCCATGTCTAGATTTATAGAAATATTTGGGTTAAACTAAAATACATTATCAGTTAAAACATGCACCTAATTAAATGTATAATGAGCACATGATTGATGACTTTAATGATGAACAAAATCTTATTTTTAGACAATATTTACAAAAAAAGTATAAACTAAATTTTATTTTATTAGATAAACTAAGTTAAGTTCGCATGACGTAACTTATAATTAAGCTAACTTAAGATAACCGAAGAGGAGGCTAGCTAGCGCCATCCCGGGGAGCCACCACAAGCGACATCAGTTCGCACTGCAACGCAGCAACTTCGCGTACTGAAGGGTCGATGACCATGACTGCCTAACAGGTATTTTACAACATCCATTAACCGTAAGAGTAAGGGGACATAGTTTTACATAGTATTAAACTAAATTTAACGTCTTTAAAATTAGTAGTTACCAAGTTTTTTTGGTTGCTAGCTTAATTGTTACTTGCACTTCGACAGCCGGCTAGCTAAAGCTAACTTTACTACGCAACTTATATCAGTAAAATTTACACACCAACCGCACCGTATAAACTCTCCCTGATTATTAATGCTACTGTTTGTGGAAAGAATATAACGTTAAACTATTTAAAGCCGGAAAAAAGGGTTAATGGAGAATGCGGGCATCGATCCCGCTACCTCTCGCATGCTAAGCGAGCGCTCTACCATTTGAGCTAATTCCCCTTCGAAAGGACGTTATTGTGGGCCTTATTCTTGAAGATAACCATCCGAACAATGGATATGGATATAGTTGTCGAGTCGTGGGTTGTTCTTGTGCTAATATTTGACGTACAACAGCGAGCTAGGGTCATTTTAGCGCTGTACGGAACGGCACGGTACGCCCGTTGCTAGCTAGCATTAGCGTTGACTAATTTCGCTAATGTTAGTAGCGAAGTACGTTAGCAACTAAACGTCAACGGTTTAACAGTTAACGGTTTAACAGTTAAACGTTAACGGTTTAACAGTTAACGGTTTAACAGTTAAACGTTAACGGTGTAACAGTTAACAGGATTTAAGAACATAAACTTCTACATTTGTTTTTTTTTAATGGCTCTGTAATGTTACACAAACACGACATTGCGTTGTACAACTCCAGATAACCGCAACTCTCTTGACCAAGTCGGAATAATTTGAACAACAGCGAACGCGAACTTCTGCCGACTAGAGCGAAATCGTGTTAGTTCGCCTTTACTTTATCTAAATCCCTATATAAATTATATATGAGTACGCTATCGATATAAAACGGTATAGTCGTCGTGTGTGGATCAGCTCCCTTCGATAGCTCAGTTGGTAGAGCGGAGGACTGTAGTGGATACATGGTAATCCTTAGGTCGCTGGTTCGAATCCGGCTCGAAGGAGAGATTATTTTGCCCAAAATGCAATTCGGTTTTGTTCCGCAACTGTTCAAACGTCCCAAAAACATGGCAGTGCAATTAAGAAAGATCCTACCAATATAAATCACTTTGTTTATTTACTAAATTGAAAGCTGAACCAGCGATGGAAAATAGTTTATTTTAAAAACAACAACTTGTGCCGTACAACTTTATTTGTCAATTCGTAGTATGGAGAGTTCACAGTCTGACAAGGGACTAGCCAAAGCAAAAAGGGAACATAATAAAAACACAAGTAATACAAATTATGTAATACATTATAAGAAAGAAGAGACAAAGGATTTAAAAGCAAAAAACAAACAGGCTCTAGCTTGAAATGTAGTATCTAATATATATTTCTGTTTTTCTGTTCCTCAGATATTACAGATTTATATCGAGGAAGGAGTTGGAAACATCCTGATTACTAATTGCCACAACTGTTCGCTGTTAACCTGGCAACTGTTTTGTTGACAGGATGAGTACATATTGTGGTGGTAAGATTCCAGTTTTTCATTGTCAGACAGGGAGGTTAAATTACAAATGTTCAGCACCGCTTTGATTACAGTGGAGGTCTCGTCAGTACGCACACAGCATCCTCTCCGTTATTGAGCTGCATGTGAAATGAAAAACGATTACACCTGCAAGCACTCTGTGAAAAGGGGAGTTTAAAGGTGATTGTTTAGTGTCTGATTTGGCTGCAACTCGTGATGAAAGCAAACATTATCCTTTTGCTTTGACTGTGAAACTGCCTTAAAAATGCACTACAAACACATTTAGATGGATGACTCAGAAACAATAATTAGCAGTGTTGAGGACTGCAGCAAGCATCACACACTAATAAAGTGTTTTCTCTCTGACATTTGCTGTGTTCTTGCACAGAAGGTATCCTTTGTCCAGTGGTTCTCATCAGCAGTATTGTAATTTAAATTAGAGATTGAAATGTCTAAATACACACCAGTTCCTGAGAGTATAGGCATATTTACTGACCCAAACCTTTTTGTGTTGACTTGTTTCAGGAGGAATCTTCCCTTGAAATTATACGGTTTGCCCACCAACTACAGAGCCTAGAGGAGACATTTTTCTGCCCATACTGTTCAACTACGAAGAGGCCCAGGGAGCTGCACCGGTTGTACAATTAATTTATCCTCATGGTGGTATCTGACAGCAGTGAGTAGGCATGGTTAACTCCTTAGTTTTGGGATTTCCAGAGGTGGAGCCCCACATTAAACTATGATCAATGGACGACCCGCTAAACCAACAGAGATACTGCCCCCATGTAGCAGCACCATACAGGAGGCTTTCCATTATTGAGCTGTTCAGAATCCATTGATAATTTCAACAAATTACATTATTCTTATGGGTTTTTTGGGCTGATTGTGTTACACTTTAAGATACTATGGAAGTCTATGTCAGTACTCAGTTAAAACGACACAAAATACCTTATATACCTATATCATTATAACTTGATGAACTTATATCAAAGTCAGCATGGCACACAATTCTCAAAGCAAGCGTATATAGCATATATAATATAAAATATATTTTTTCTCTGACTCATACAATGTGACATCTGCCTTCCTTGCACCTCCACTCGCTTTATAAAAAAAGCCACATGGCAAAGCACACAATGCTTTTCACACAGGCACATCAGAGTCAGTGAGTCATTTTAGACAGATGTTACCAATGAAAATGAATGAATGTCATTATCCAGCCCTCTAATTTGTCTCTTTGTTTCATTTGGTGTCATTCCAGAGACAACATACAGTGCCACAGGTTGGAAACCACAGCTCTAAAGATACTGTGAAACATCTTAAAGGTGAAAATTATGTCTTGAAAGGTTATCACTTTCATATACTACTCTTATATGCTTATTCTTATCACAAGGGATTTGTACATCTAAAAATTGCCTTTTGCCATTATATATAAGCATGTTTCACCAAATTCCTCCTTTGTGTGTATCTTGTAATTTACAACAAATTATGTTTTCTCGTTACTTTGTGATGCTGCGGGCACACCACTTCATTAAGTATTAATTAGTAGTCTTTAAAAGGCTTAACTAGTGTGATTACATATTCATTAACAACAAGCAAGGACTGCTCAAATGCTCACCATTTAGATGGCTCCTAAAAGTGAATTCAAATGAGATAAATTAAGAAGATGTTCTGGGTTATGTCTTTGATTGAAGTGGATTCCTAATTTTTAAGCCATTACTGTCTGACTCATAATATTGCAGTGTATGTTGGTAAAAATCCAATAAAGATTTAAGGCTGACAAATTGAGAGCAGTATGATGATGAAAAGCCAGACAGACACTGCTGTGAGTTTTGAGGCCAGAAGCTGCTGGTTTAAAGAGCTCAGTGTGACCCTCTTTCTCTTCTACCAGTAGTAGTACACGGTATTTTGATTATATAGTAAAAGGGTCTGCAGGTACTTCCAAGGCCACACAATACACAACAGGAGGTGTTACACACATGCACTCACACACAACCGCACAAATAAAGGTCTACAAGCTCATAAGCAAGATAAAAGTGTATATGGGGCCAGAATAGGGAGCAGAGTAAAGGCTGCCATCTGTTCCCTTGTATGAATATTTCAGTTAGGTGGAAGTCATATTGTATTCATACAGATGGTAGCAGTCACTGCCTGTGATTTAAAAGGTCTTGGTAAGCATTCTCAGTTGATGTTGTCTATTTCTACGTTTTCACATTTGTCCTGAAAAGACCCCCTGAAGTTAAGTTCTTTATCCCAAAACATCTCTGAGGATGTGATCAGAAAAAGTGCCAACATACCCAAACCAAGTAGCAATAATGTCACCTCTCTGTATATCTAACACTATAGAAAATAACAGTAAAGACTGACTAGTTCAAATCTACTAGTATTTGTAAAGTTATCAGAAGCAGTGAGTCATTGGTGACTTGCTTGGTATGAACACAAACAAATAAATGAAAGTAATCATAAAAAGAATCCAACCCAGAGAACAGTGTTACTCTCGTTATTGGTATTTCCCACAATATTTTATAATGTCAAGGACAGAGTTGAAACTTGAGTCTTTATACTGAAAAATAAAAAATAACAAAATAAAGTTCACAAAAAAGTAAAGTTTACAACTGTTGGTTATTTTATATGTTTTGTAACACATTTATAATGAGTAATAATTGTGATTTAAAACATACTAAGACTTAGAATATAACTTAAATTTCTTAGATTAAATGGTAATCAAAAGTTCAAGTACACAACAAAGCTTTTTGATTACACGTACAGGACTAATTGTGGTTAGTTAATCTCTTGGTCGTTGGCACTCATTCTTAATGCACAGACAACAAACCAATAACAGAGATAGTTAATGTAAACGTTTTATACACTGTCACGTCTTGACAAGCAGAGAAGTGTTAATAAAATTATGATAATGTGTGAAAAAGAGGTTTTTCATATCTATTTTTTGTTTTTGTTTTAATTTTTAGACAGCAAGCTTCAGAACATCTGAGTGTACCCATGATACTGCAGATCCACAGCAGAGTAGAGCTCTTCTCCTGAGGTAGACATCCTTCTTTATTATTACCTGAAGCCAGGTGAATGATCATGAACTGAAAATCTAACCAGGAATTACAAAACAATATCACACTTTTAAATGAAAATACAGATATGTTTTACTTGTTATAATCATAATTGTTACTCCTTTTTTAAAGTCCTGCTTTGTCACATATCACCAGGGGTTGTCAAGGCTTTTCCTACTCTTAGAACTCACCTCAATATGAAACTTCTTACAGTTTATTCTAACAAATAGCAGCTTTTAGAAGCAGCAACTGCTGAGATAATTGGCATATGAGTAAAAGCAGGAGGAGAATAGATTCTTTTGGAAATTGATAAAACAAGTAGAGCAAATTATAAGCCGGTATTTTATTAACCAACATTAAGGTGGATTTTATTTGTAATGTTTTTTATTAACATTTGTGAACAAAAGGACAGACAGGTTGAATGTACATTTAAACTACAGCCACATCCTCTTTTATCTTAAATACATCAGTCCAACCACCACACTGGGTGGTCATAGTTAAGCAGGCAGCAAAGACATGGATGTAAGATTATTCACATTGACTATTAACACATTACATATCATATCAAACTTGTAGTTGTAATCGCAATACGAATTGGCCATGCAGAGGTATACTATGGATCAAGGTTGCACAACTTTTCTGAAGATACCTAAGCATATATTATATGTCATCACAAAAATCTTGTACTTAAAAAACAATCTACGGATAATAAAAATAGTATTTCAGTGAAAACTGACAGTCTCTCTCACTGTTTCTGGGATAAGCCAGTGTAAGTACAAGTAGTTTTACAGATAGTGGATGTGCATGACAATGTAATGTCCCTCTGATTTACCAATGCCTTTCATCATATTTGACATGTAGTGACTTGATCATAAGAAAGATAAACTCAAACAGACAGATTTCCACATGGAGTTTTATGTAACATCCTCTCCCTTACAATGACGTAAAAGAGACGTCAGTCGCTGCAGCTCATGGTCATGGGAAACTGTGATGCGCTCAGCATTCAAGAGGTTCTCTCAGCCTGGCTTAAACCAAACACCCTCTGCATTATGAGCAGTGCAGTCAACATTGTTTCATCTTTAACACTTGAATTCAAAGGGTAGTAAAGCAGGGAGATTTCAACATCAAGCAGCTGGGTGTTTACACATGCAAGAGTCTGGTTGCATTAAGCAGGTTAGAAAAAGGGTACAGTACCCTACAGACCCTAAAGGGAAGGACAGAGAAAAAGAAGCTCATCATCAAATTTTCTTTGATGCAGAGAAAGTGTGAGTCAAGCAATTCCCACAGTTTTTGTTGTTCATTCTGTAAACTGGGTACACGGTAAATTATCTGTGACAAAACGTGCACCCTCTGGGAATGGCCAATTACTCACCATATAAATCTGGAACTAAGTGTCTCAACAACAAGTGGTAGACATTCATGTCTTGGTAATAAAATTTAATTCGGTTAAAATCGGTTTTCACCAAAGACATCAGTGTCAAGTCAGTGTGGCAGTTTATTTCTATATATATTTTAGATTTTTGGGTCATTTTTTGTCATCATTAGACAGCACCAACGCAGGATCAGGAAGAGAAACATGGTCCCCTGACACCCCACGAGTGCTTACTTACGAACAATATTACAATACCATTTGTTATGGATTTAAAGTTCTAACTGGAGCCACAGACCACCAGGAAATAAGGGTTGCCATCAGTCATCCATTTATTAATCCAAAGAATCAATTCATTGTTTTCTTGCAAGGATGATGATTGCTATGATTAATACAGTGCTCAACAAATGCAGTTTTTGTTGTTGTTGCTGCTTTTTATTTTTCTAGGCATACAATTTTTTTTTAAATAAACTTTGTCAATAAGTAAACAATCTGAATGTTAATGCTAATCAGAGGAGCATCATACTATAGTTTCCGCTGAGGAGCTGTGATTGGAAAGCCTGCTGGCCTTTATGACAGTAAAAGAGTGCTATCTAGTGGTAGAAAGAAGGCAAGCTATGTCCAGTAGACGCACTTCTGCATATTGACATCATTGCAGTCGTCACCAAATAGGGCTTGCATTGTACTGGTGGCATTTAGATCTTGTGATTCATACTCCTTTCAGTTTGTATAAATAATGTTAACCAGGAACACGTGAATAACAAATTAAGCCATCAGACATTGTCGCTATCTAGGACTCAGTGATTAAGTTTAGCACTTATATATACACTAGCTCTATGTATGCACATATGGAAGTACCAAAATACAAGCTTTTCATCAAACTGTAAGTGTTAGCACAAAGAATACGTGCCAAGTTTAAAACATGTTTGTATTTGGTAGGAATCGTATTGAGTAGTTGTCAATATATTGGACAATATTTATTTAATATCAGTTTCACTTCACAATAAGTACCTTCTCATTAGAAACCAAGCTACAATCACACTCTTTTAAAATATAGAGCTATACTGTAATTATCCTCAGTATTTTTGTATTAATTTGATCCCAGAGGCACACTGTCATTGTAAAGTCTCTTTTTCACCACAAGATGGCTCTACATACACACAACAATACATCTGTAGGTGTTTGTAATGGCATTTGATACAAAAGTATACTTCAGTATAAAAATGCTCTTTATTTCCTCCAATTAAACCTGATAATAATAACAATTTATCTTAATAAAAGTAAGATAACAGGTGAAAATGTACTTAATCATTCTGATTGAAATGAAATGGATTAATAAAGAATATATTAGTCATTCAAAGGAGATGTGCAGTTACATCAAATATATATTTTTTCAGGAATAAGGACTCTGTGTTTGTGTGTGTGTGTGTGTGTGTGTGTGTGTGTTAATGTGTGGTGTGTTTGTTTACAGACACACATATACAAGCTATATGTCAAAGAGAACTACAGGTGTAAAACTGCTGCGTGGGCAATGAAGCAATAGATAACGACTCCTGTGATGCTCACAGTATTGTCAGAGGGTAACAGGTAAATCAATTAGGGACACCATGGTGGATTGTAGTTTGTCTCCAGAGGGCTCTCAGCAAGACTAGTCAGGGGGAGTGGAGCACTGGGGGCCTCACAAGCAGATACTGTACCTGTGAACCCAAGGGGAATCAGCAGATATGCAGCTCACCTGTCATACTAAATCTCTTGAGGCTGATGCTAGAGTAGTTAAACACACCTGCCATCCTACAAAGGTGTGTGTGCTGGGGAAGAAATTAATTAGCAGAAATGCCTCACAAATCATTTCCCCACTTGTACACTTAGAGGAGAGAGTGTAAAGTATGTGCTGTCCTGTGCACACATGTGACGTGCCATTGACGTAGTCATATGTGAGATCAAGCAGTTTCAGAGTTGTCTGGCAACAACAGGTTTGTAAACTGAATGCACAAACAGTACCACCCATGTGTGGTTGACCTTCTCTGCTCTTTTTGCAGCAAATACCTTTAAGAATCAAGAAGTGACATGTTAGTCATTTACACTAACACTTAAGGAGAAGTAGCAGTTAACATCAAATTAAATGGTTTTAGAGTGTAATCTCAGCCACAAGGTGTTCCATCACCCAGGGTAGAAAGTAAGTTATTACAAGTACAGTAATTGAGGAGTTATTTCATCTCCTTCTTTAAGTGCATTAGTAATTCAGTTCACAATATTACATCAATCAATTTTTTATTAAGAATTTTACTCAGGCAAAGACAAATGTTGCTGTGGAAACTACAGTTGTGGCTGACTTAGGAAGATATGAAATATAAGTTTGACTGATCTCATTTTCCATCTAAACCAATGCTTTCGAGTTGCCTCTAGTTGTATGTTTTGTATGTTAAAAATATATTTTTTTAAAGGAAATTAATTATTAAAAAAATATAGAAAACTGCAGAAATACTACAAAATGTTGACTGAAAATACTTAACTATAAGATTGCTGAAATGTAATTTACGTTTTGAATTTCCTGTAATACATTTATGCACATATATATATCCATGATTAGTTATGAGCAAAAATATGATGGGTAGATAGTAAGCCGAGGTAAAAATGTATGGTTAAAAAACACTGGAGTTGTGGTGGCAAAAGAGGAAGCTATGGGAAGAGAAGTGTGGATCAGGAGTACCCCTTCTCTTTTTTAATAATTGTTATGCTTTTAACTGATAGAGACAGCTGAAGGTAGACAGGAAAAGGGGGATGAGATGCAGCAAAGGGCCAAAGACTGGAATCGAACCCAGGCCACTGCAGTGAGGAGCCTCAGCCTTTGTACATGGAGTGCAAGCTCTACCAGGTAAGCTACTGGAACGCTCCGGAGTACCCCTTTTCCACCAAATCTGGTTCTTGAACTGGATTTAAAAACAGTCAACAATAAATAATCTTCTTATTGGGAACAAACTTCACTCCTGTGTGAACTGCCCGTAGCTGAATAGGGTCGGGCCTATGCTACTGTATTTTATTTTCATGCTGATGGTACTTGGAGAGCCTAATATTTTCTTAGGAGGTTTAGAAACTGTAAAGAAATTCTCTGAGGTATCTGTAAATTGATGAGGGTTGGTAGAGCACAGATTATGAAATGGTTGCAGTCAGAACTCTACATTTCCCTTTGAGGTGAACATGTAACTATTCACTGTTAATCAAAGCAGCTACTTTTGTAGTTTCAAACACCAGTACTTAACTATATATAAAATAGAATCACAATATACCTCTTGTTGGCTATTCTAGTACTCTTTCCACCCCTGTTACTGTCTACGTCTTGTTTGTTGTTTTGCCTTGGTTGCCTGGAAAAGATGCAGGACCTCTTTGTGGGGGGTATGATTGTGGGGGAACTACATTCAGACCCATGGAAATGGGGAGGGAGGGGATTATGCCTCCATTGGCACAGGGCCTGACTGTTGCCATGGCACTTCTATTGTCCCCGAGCACATGGGCATGGCACAGAAACCTTCAGTGAAAATGTTCATGTTCTGGTCCGTTAGTGCTGTAATGATTTTCTAGCTGCAGCATGAGGTCAGCTACACCTTATAATGGTGGCCCAGCAGCCTAAAGGCGATTGGCTGCAGACAGATAAACGCAAACAATGGTTTAATGCAGACAATAACATGACCAAGTCAGAGTCTACTTCACTGTACAATCAGCATGTGTTTTGAGTCATATGGAGGAAACTGCCTAAGCTTAACACAGCTGCAACATTTTGCTGTATTTCCTAGGCTGTATTTCAAACTCCCGGTGAGTCTCAGCTCCCAAGTAGTATGAGTCATGAGAGGAAGGTAATCACAGGCAATGATGTGGACCGCTGCAGGGAAAGCCCCGTTGTGGAGGAATACCCTTGAGAAAGTCCACGCCGTCTGCTAACGACTGCTCATATAGGTCTTGGGATCGCCCTGGCCGCTTAACCAATCGTGTAACTCGTCTCATACGTCGCGAGTGCTTTCGTCCAATCAGCGTTGAGGTTACAATAGCTGCCCTGCCGCCATTGGTCGAAGTCAGACAAGGGCGTTTTTTTTTTTTTGCTCGCTCCAACAGCACCATCTCTGGCAGGTGGTGTGTGCTTTAAAACCATACAGTAGGCTAATGTTTAGGACGATAGGTAGGTAGTTATAGGGAAATAAACACACTTTAGGTTCTTCATTTGTCGTTTTTTGGTTGATAGTTTCGCGTTACGTGCCATTACGTTTCCTTTAAACCCAGCGGAGTCGCAGTGAATGAGATGAACGTCGGGGTTTCCCTCTCTGAGCCAGACACTTTGTGCTTTACGGTCAGCGGTGAATTAGACAACTGCTCCTTCATCATGCAGCTTCTGAAAAAAAACGGAAAAGCCCTACATGTTGATTATATTTCGCCACTGGTGTGAGTCTTGAATGAGAGAAAAAACCTACCCGGGGCACGGCTGACAAGGGTCTCACATCCTGGAGCTGCCTCACCTCATCCGCCGGCGTTGCATACAATATGATATGTTGATGACATTTTTTGGAAGTGGTCGTGCCTTTTGTTTTCATTTCGGGATATGTGATATGCGGATCAGTGGACGCAACGAAACGCAAACGAGCGGACGTTTTTTTATGCTTTGAAAATGAGGAAGCGTTTTCATAAAGACCCAGAAAATGGCAAGAAGGTCTCGTCGTCCGTGGGCCCGGATTTGAGTAAAATGAGAAGGAAAGGAGCAAATGCAACAGCAGCATGAATTTTTTTTTCCCCCTACAGAATGACACCAAAGGAGGTAAAACGGTGGAGGTAGAGAAGACGCAGCATCAATGAAGGCGATCTGGACAAGTTTTGAGTCGCTCATAATGAACAGAAATACTTTGCAGCTCGATAGCAGATCGTTTTCATAATATTGAAAGATTTTTTTCGGCTTTGGGAGATTTTCTAAGTCCACCAGTCATCTATTTTCGCATTGCATTTGTTATCTTTTTCATTATATATTAGATTTTTTTTTTTTTGTTGTTGTTGTTTTTTTACATTTTTGATCCGGATCCAGCCCTGACTATTCAATGGAAGTATGTTATCAGCTGCCGGTTTTGCCTCTTGACAGGCCGGTTCCCAAGCATGTCCTCAGCCGAAGGGGAGCCATTAGTTTCAGCTCCAGCTCTTCTCTCTTCGGGGCTCCTGATCCCAGACAGCTGTCACAGGTAAATATATTACAAATCCTTATACTTATGTGTGGTTTTTTTTTTTTTTTTTTTGTCATTTAGACACAATGGGGTTTGGCTCTGGGAATCACACAGGCCTTAAAACCAGCACCCTTTAAAACAAATACATGAATAATCCACAGGAATCTTGCAGGTGGTTGTTGGATATCTAGGCCCTAACACACACAGTGGACACTGACTTACACACACACACACACACACACACACACACACACAAATATTTTCTTATCTCTAAGACCTAAAACACACACCAACCTAAAACCACTTTGCATATGTGCGTGTTGCCTACAGATAAAGGCCCTCCTGGTTTTCACTTTAGCCAGCACTGACATCGTTATGTCTAAAGTATACCAGTTCACTCCTGGGACTTGCTACATTTGTCAGAAGGAACGTGCCACACTGTTATTTATGATAACATCTCCTGACACATTGACAGAAAAAACATAAATCATTGAGTCATACTTGAACTTCCTGCTTGAGTCTTGAATTCTTCAAAATGTGCCTCTGGTTAGCTTACCTCTCTATTTCTTCTCTGCGGTGAAAGAACCGAAAAGGTAGGTCACAAACATGTTGTGGGGTCACGTTCTGCTTGACTCTTGTGTACACAGAAAAACTGGTGCAGCAGAACAATGCTTCTCCAATGCATTAGCCAAGCATGGAGTCACTGTTTTGTATAAGCATGTGTCTCTTATGATCTACTGTCCATTAGGCCATTGTGCGGTACACTTGCTTAACTAACTGTAACACGTGTGCCTCTAACCTCAGCTCAGAGAAAAGTTGCACATCAAGTCATGAGTCAATGAACTCCCCCCCCCCCCCCGAACATCCTCACTGTTGCTTCAGTAGTTTTGCACAAAAGCAGCAGGGTGTATTATCATGTCTTAGGGTCACGTCCCGCCAGCTGGTCATGAACAGAAACTCCCACAGCATTGCATGGCATCTCCCAACACATTAACTAAGCATTAAGTCACTGTCTTTGACTGTGTGAGCATCCTCTTCAATGGGCTGTCCATTAGTGCTTTGTGCAAGACGCTGCTCCACATAACCACCCATGTGTGTCCGCTTTGAACCTACCACACCATCACAGGCAGCTCCCTCAAAGACTAATGCATAGCCTTGGCCATCAAAGGCCTTCAGTTTTGCTTGTCTTCAGTGGTGTTTTGTTTTTGTTTTTTTGCTGGGATATTGGTGTTGTTGACAGATGTCATTAAATTTTGAATGCGTTGGCTGGACAAGACTTTCTGACCATCCATTGATATTTCTATCCATCCATTCACTCCATACTTGCAGTCATTATGCCACCACTCAATCATCACGTTCTGCCTTAGTTAGGCAGACTTATAAAACTAATCCGAAGGCCTGAAGCTCTCCTGGGCCATGGTGGTTCTTGGATCTTGCTTGTAAGACCGCAGCCCAATAGAGGGATCCCTGGAGAGGTCCCAAAACCTCAGGAGAAAACCCATCTCAGCATAATGCTAGATTGCTCATTCTCTGCACACAAACACAAGTGTAAAGCTATTGTGTCTCTTGCTCGGGTTCACCAGTTGATTTCTCAAGTGGACCAGAGTTCATTTTCAATCGCCAGGTGTGAGGTGTGCTGTTATTGTCCTTCTTTGTGAAAAAAAATGGGTCATTTGCACCAAGCAGTGCACTTTGTAGTGTTCAGGGAGTTTCCAGTCAAACAATAATGATCTGCCTGTAATTTTTGGGGAGACATTGTTAAATTGCACAAGGTTTACAAACACTTTTACGCTTTGTGCAAAACCAAGACATGGAGGGATTCAGTAAAAGACCCACTGACATAGTCATTTGTCTTTTTCTTTTTTATCCTGAACACTGGCAGAATTGGGTGAACATGTATGTACACATACAGCAGTGTCACTCAGCCTTTGTCACAGAGCAATTACACTTCTACAAATATTGTGTTTCGGGCCCTATTTATGACCATAAGGGTGCATTTGTCCTTGGTGGCTGCTGTGTTTTTGTGTGTGGTTCCACAGGCCTGTTGTTTGTGGAAGCAGTTCTGGACTACCATTGCAGAAAGAGGCAGTTAGGCATGTGCCTGGGCTCTGTGGGCAGTGGTTTGGCTTGCTGCCAAACTCACAGATGGCCGGAGTCTCAGTCTCTTTTCTTTCTCTGGCTATCTTGTTCCGCTCACTCACAAGCTCCCTCTTTTTCTTTCTCTTTCTCCTCAACCCCCCTCCCCTTCCCTCGCAGATGAAGACATTTCCTCTTGTAAACAGAGGACGAAAGAGTAGGGTTGAAGACACGACAGAGTCTCAGAAGAATATGTCACTCTGTGGTCGTGGAATGCTTATAATGGGTGTAAATATGCTGTTGAAGAGGCGGTGAAAACAGCAACGGCATTAAATAAATGGGCTCATTTGTCTATTACAATGCCTCTATTGTTTTTATCACAATGCATGTTGGCTAATTCCTAAAAGTGCGGTGGAAGATGATTTGAATGTAGTTTGTATATAGTGATGCATCCTGGTCTCCTTGCTTCTCTTGAGTGAAGGGTAAACACAGGACTGAGATAGATAAGATTGGTGCAGAATGAAAGGACTAGGAGTACAGGACAAGGAGTAAGACACAGCAAAGGCTCACATGGCTCTCATTTAAACTACAAAACACTGATGTATTAGCACATAAAGTTAGTTTGTCATTATTGTGCACAGAGATGTTGCAGGCCTGAGAGTAACTTTCAGTGTGGCTGGCTGTCATGATCTGGTATTATTAACGCATC